ACTATTGGTAGTAGGTTCTGGGGCCAATGTTGTACTTTTGGTAGTGGTACTAATAGGTGGATCCAGAGGTTCAGGAGAAGTTAGAAGTGTTGGAGAATTACCATAAAATACATCAGTTATACTAGTTGCATGAGTTAGAATTGTAGTCCAAGGACTAGTAGTTCCATAAGCTGGAGAGGTCGTAGGAAGAACATCAGCAGTTATTTCCAGAGTACTATGTGGTGCAGTACCACCAGTTTCTTCCTGAGACGTAGTGGGAAAATTAGTACTCCCTGTATAAGCTGAAGTAGTTGTGGTAACAAGGGGAGTTAGTAAATCAGCAGTAACCCCTCCAGGAACTGTGGTTCTGACCGATGTACTTTCTTCAGTAACAGCAGAAGTAGAATCTTCCAAAGAATCAGTACTTTCTGAAATACGAGTTCCAGATGTTGAGAAGATCAAAGAAACAGCTGTGAAGAAACCCATCATTAGTTTGACCGTGCTAATATGCTATTGTTTACCAGGTTTAATGTTAAACATTTGGATTAAAACGGGGTTTATTTTAATTATTATTGTTTTTATTTCTATTTTGCCAATAAAGTCTACAGCCAAAACTAAATCAAATGCCTCAAAATAAAAGAAATTGACTAAAATAAGCTTTTTTCTTAAAGTTTTTAAATAATTTGTCACAAACGTTGGGTCTGGAACTGTAAAGTTTGATTTACCAGCTGTGCACCTACTTTTCTATCAAATGTCTGCAGGTTTAATGCAACATTTATTATCATTACTATTATTATTTTGATTATTTAATCTTCCGGTTGTCCCACCCTGCTCAACTTTTGTTCCATGTCAAATTAAGCTGACGCATTAGTCCAGATTTAGCAGATAATGTTGAGTATTTAAAAGAGCCAACTCCAACTAAAGATTAACTTCTGAAATGTGAAGAAAGAAAAGAGCGGTTAAAGATTTCTTACCCAACGTGAAGACGAGCCAGAACCGCATGTCCATGTTGCAGGTTTTCCCAGAGTTTTCACTTTGCTTGTATATCCTCTTATCTAAATATGTGAGCTTCCCAGGAGGAAGTGTCTGCGAGAAAATATTAAGCTGAGTAGCCATTAAAGTCATAAAATGCATCTCTGCTGAACAAAGGTTGTTCAGCTGCAATATCCTCCGTCTCCATGCGCTTTAATAAAATCAGATTTTGACCTTAAAGTTTCAGTATAAGTATTCACAGATTAGCTTTTGCTTCTGATTGTTTCCTTCTCTTGCTCACAAGTCACCTATAAAGGAATGTGAGCTATGCTGTGGGCTGTAATAAAGCTCATGTAACCACAAATATTAACTAACTAAATAGAGTGAAAGTAGAAATACATATCAGAGCTGACCTCTGCACAGATGTATTGGTGAAATGTATTTAAAAGCAATTATCTATCACCTAAAGAGGAAACAGTTTGATGACCTGGTGGGAAAACGTTTCATAAAAACATGAAAACATCATAAATCTCACGATAACTGCTTCAAAAGGGGCTCAATTTGATGGTCAAGGTCAAAATATCTAAACAGAAATGGTAAATTTTAACTTGAAATAACACATTCTTAAGCGTTTTATTTATTTATTTTTTTCATTGACCAGCTGAACAGAAAAACTTGAACAGTGAATGGTGTGAAGTCGACTGTAAGCGTGGGCGCGGAGGGTGCTGCAGCACCCTCAAATGGATGCAAGAAGACGCACCTGACGTGTGGTTAATAAATTATTCAGAAAATTAGAAGGAAATAAAAGATTTAATCAGTGGTGCTAGTGTTTCAAATCAAGAATGCTTTGATATATTTGAGCTTTTAAATGTGGGATTAAAAAAACACCACTGTTATGTTATCTTTGTGGGAAATTTTGATAATAACTTAAAACCCATAAAAATTGAGCAGATCATAGGTCATAAATATACATACTGTCTGAAATCAACTGGGTACTTTGTTTTTATTGTTCATATTTTAAGGACACATTTCATGATATTATTATTGTTGAAATATCTTCTTCCTCATCTTCTTCTTCATCCAGTTTTTCCCTCAGGGGTCTCCACAGCGAGTCATCCTCCTCCATCTCTGTCCTCTGCATCCTCTGTCCTCACTCCAACTACCTCCATGTCTTCTCTAACTGCATCCATATATCTCCTCTTTGTCTTTTTCCTGGCAGCTGCATTTCTAACATCCTTCTACCAGTATACCCACTGTCCCTCCTCTGGACATGTCCAAACCATCTCAGTCTGGCCTCCCTATCTTTATCTCCCAGTTGTTCAACTTGTGCTGTACCTCTGATGATCTCATTCCTAATCTTGTCCATCCTTGTCACTCCTAAGAAGAACCTCAACATCTTCATTTCTGCCACTTCCAGTTCTTTCTCCTGTCTTTTTGTCCATGTCTCTGTCTCCAGACCAAACAACATAACTGGTCTCACCACTGTCTTGTAAACTTTTCCTTTGACCTTTTCTGACACCTTTGTTACAAATCACTCCTGAAACTTTTCTCTTCTTCACCTCTTTACCACACTCCCCATTTTCCTGCACAGTGGATCCCAAGTAGATGAAGCACCTTTGTGACCTCTGCTCCTTGTAGCCTCTCTGTTCCACCAGCCTCCCTCTCATTCATACACATGTACTCTGTCTTACTATGGCTGCCTTTCATTCCTCTTCTTTCAAGTGCATACCTCAACCTCTCCAAGTTCTCTTCCACCTATTTCCTGTTCTCACCACAGATCACAATGTCATCTGCAAACATCATAGTCCATGCCTGACCTCATCTGTTAGTCGGTCCATCACCAGAGCAAACGAGAAGGGGCTCAGAGCGGCTCCTTGATGCACTCCCACCTCCACCTTGAAGCTATCTGTCACTCCTACAGCACATCTCACCACTGTCCTGCTGTCCTCATACATGTCCTGTACCAGTCTAACAGACTTTTCTGCAACTCAAGATCTCCTCATGCAATACCACACCTCCTCCCTCAGCACTCTGTCATGTTTTTTTTTTTTTCTAAATCCACAAAGACACAATGGAGTTCTTTCTGACCCTCTCTGTACTTCTCCATCAGCATCCTCAAAACAAAGATGGCATCTGTGGTGCTGTTTCTTTGCATGAAACCATACGGCTGCTCACTAGATTCCACACCTCTCTCCCAGATCGTATTAGGATTCTTATTAGATTATTGTTTAAATGTGTGTAATTAAAATAAATGCATCCATTCATATCTTAGACATGGATAAAGACACACACACACAAAAAAAAAAACAAAAAAAAAAACCCAGAGAGGAGTTTGAACTCTGAGCTGTTTCAAACTGATTTAAAGTGTTTCTATCAACGACACTTTGAATGGAGAAATTATTTGATGCGGACTTTGGTAAGTCAGTTGAGTTTGAATTTTTTTAACACTTTAACATTTCCAACCCCAAAACAAGAGGAGAACATGAATCCCAGGGTTTTCTGTAGTTTTTTCTTTCTGTGGCGCCCCCTGCTGGACGGAGGATCAGGGTTCTTGCAGGACATCAGCACTGTGCCTGAGCAGAGAATGTAAACACAGCCAGTTTGACCTCCTGCACCCTGTTGATGATTAAACTGCTGCGGATGAAGATGAACTCTGCTCGTCCTCCTCAGTCTGCAGACAGCATGGCTCGCCTGGTGGAGTGCGTCCCCAACTTCTCGGAAGGACGAAACAAGGAGGTGAGACTTTTCAGCTCTGACGGCGTTTAGACTGAACTCTGCTGCACTTTTAGACCTTTTAGTTCAACGTGGGGG